ACATCAGCTTCGCAATCGTAATCACCGGACCGAAGAAGCCCAGCGGATCAAAAATCTTGGCCAGCTGACTTAGAAGTTTTCTTCGGGTCACGATATCCGAATCATCTTCTTTAAAAACAGACACAGAAAACCAGTCTTCAACTGGATTCCACGTCACGCCTAAAGTCTTCACAATCGTCTTCGTACTGTCATCCGTAACTTCGAAAGAGTTTCCTCGTAGTGAATTAGGAACATCTTGCAGAATATCGGAGTGGTTTGCGCACCACTTGTGAGCGCCAAAGCAACCTTTTGCTAACAGACTTGTCACTTCTCGTTGCAATTGACACGCTTCAGCTAGAGTATCAGCACCCGTCAGGATGTCGTCCATGTACGTACCCTTTTTGATGACCTTGGCGGCTTCCGGAAATTCGTTCTCGTGATCCAGGGCTGTTTGCTTGAGCGCCATGGTAGCTTGAAATGGTGATGATGCCAGACCATACGTGACCGTCAGTAGCTCGTAAACGGTCAGAAAATCATTTCGATTGTACCGCCAGAAAATTCGCAGGTAAGGATGAAGGCGAACTTGTCGAAACATCTTGGGGATATCCAGCGTGAAAACGTACTGAAATCCTCTAAATCGAAGTAGGATGGTGACGAGGTCCTTCTGGATAGTTGGCCCTGTCATCAGAACATCGTTGATCGAAACGCCCGTAGACGTTCTAGCCGATCCATCAAATACGACTCTTAGTTTGGTCGTCGTACTGGTGGGCCTCAACACGCAGTGGTGTGGTAAATAATACACCGAGTCAGGTTTCTCGCTCGGATCCTCCTGTACCTCTCGCATGTGTCCGAGCTGCTCATATTCTCGTAAGAATTGAGAGTACTGCTCTTTAAGTTTCGGCTGCTTCTCAAGTTTTCGCTCCAGATTCAGGAACCGCTTCAGGGCCATCTCACGCGAATCGCCCAATTCGTGCTTGCGTTCGTTGAAGGGATGCTGTACAACGTATCTTCCTTCCTCTGTTCGTTGGTGTGTGCGCTGAAAATGATCCAAGCACTTCTCGTCATCCGCCGTGGGAGATAGGCGGATCTCGTCGCAGGCTTCCACCTTGTAGAAACTTTTCAGCAGTTCGATGAGCGGCTCGTTTTCCTCGGAAATCTGGCAGAACGTGCGTGCAACAATAGGGGCATCGTTCGCGATCATTCCTCCAGCAATCCACCCTAGCTTGGTGCTGGTCAGCACTGGAAGATTCGGGCCGAGTTCAATTCGGTCATTCTTCAGCAGATCCCAAAAGTATTCAGCGCCGATAAGCATATCGACACGTCCTCGCTTATAGAATGTCGGATCGGCCAACTCTTGTTTGCTCGAGATAGGCCATTCCGAAACATCAAACGATTTCACCGGCAAGTCACCAGTGATCCGGGGGGTTACCAACAGGTCCAGGCCAACAGTGTAGCTTCCGTGACACGACTTAATGGTGGTATGCAGCATACGGCGAATTCGTGTATTATTGCCGTTCAGTCCGCTAACTGTGTAGTCAGCAGGTTCCAGTTTCAACGAAAGAAGGTTTGCAAACCGCTCCGTAACGAAATTCATTTGCGATGCGGAATCCAGGAGCACTCGGCAAGGGTACGGAGTGTTGAACAAGCCATTGGCCAATACCACGGCAGTCGATAGCAGAGTCTGCTTCTGTGTACCACTGACACATGCGCACAGAGTCGTCGTCCCCGCTCGGTTGCTGACGTTTGGATCCCCCTCGGATTTCACAGCGGGTGTCGCTGGATCTTCTGCTGGTTTCGTAGCGGTGGAAACTTTGCTTGAAGTGTCCTCGACGTGTAGCAAGGTGTGATGCTTTTTTCCACACTCACGACAGGAATGTGTCGAGGAACACGCACTGGTACGATGGCCTTTCGTCAGGCAATTGAAACAGGAACCGCACTTTTTCAGCACATCGTATTTTTCACTAACACTTTTGTTCTTGAATGTTTCACATCTCCATAGTTCATGGTGTGCCTTGCACACTTGACACTTATGTTCATTTTTCGATTCACTTGTTGACACTAGCGTGTGGCTCTTGGCCACTGCTTTTGTTTTTACACTCTCCGTCGTCGGCTTCGTGTCGATTTTCTCATATATTCGACACTGTTCTTGTAAGAATTCCAGCGTGGCAACATAGGTCGGCATGACTTCCTTCTTCTGTCGAGCCTCCCAGGCGACACGTAGTTTTTTGTCCATCTTCGCCGCAATGAGATTTACCAGCATCTGTTCCCCAAGCCCAGCGACTGGCAGATCAAGATTCTTCAAGGCCTCCACGTTCTTGGTGCACGTGTCGGTCATTTTCCTTATGTTGGCTGCATTTTCTTGTCCAACTTTCGGTAGGTTGAACAGGTTCTCGACGTGCTTGTCGATAATGATTCGCTTGTCTTCGAATCTCTGCTTAAGTACCATCCACGCAGCATCATAGTCGTTGTTGTTAACTAGATCCTGGTCAATGATACCAGCCGCTTGCCCAACAAGGCAGTTCCTCAGGTGGTACAATTTCAATGCTGGGTCTTCCTGCTGATACCGGTCCATGACGGTGGTAAACATGGACTTGAAGGAGTACCACTTCTCATACGACCCGTCGAAGGTCGGCAAGGGCACTTGTAACGGTGGAAGATAGGGCTGAGCCGGGAACATCAACTTCTGGAATGATTTCTGGAGTGCATCCGCCGAAGAGGACGCAGGTGAGGGAGTTACTGCTGCAGCTGCCGCTCGCTCCATCGACATGCTCAGTTGCATCACCACGTCATTGTAAAGCGATTCAAATTCGATGTATTTCTCGATTTGTTCCGCTCGACGTTCATCAGAGAGGGGTAGCTCGTAAATCTTGTTCTGAAACTCATTGTACTCGCGGTAACAATGCTCCACCGTCTTTTGGTGAAGCTGCAGAAAATGGATGTTCATAATGTTCGGATTCGGTTCTTCAGCACTATGCCGTAAAGCACTTCTCACTCGGGTTAACTTCCCCTTCACTGCCCCTCTCTGATGAACCAGCACTTTTATTTGATCTTCCATTTTCTTCGCTTCTTCTTTTTGCTTCTGTTTATTTTTCTGTTCGCTGATCGGTGTTCTCGGTGTAATAACTTTTTTAACCGGCGGTGTTAAAAACATCTTCTTTTTCTTCCTTCTGAAGATTCACATCACTTCGATCACGCGCCATTTGCAAAAAATACAAAGATAACCAAAAAACACTAAACACGTCCAGAAGGATTCATTTCTGTGGCGACTTTACCACGCCATTTGCAAAAACAATTGTCAGACTGTTCTTATTTCACTTCCAGCGTCGATTAGGAAACTTTTCCTCCAGAGCGACCGCCATGTGCAAAAGCAGCTAGCGCTTCGCCACACTCGACCGACAGCAACGGACGAATGTTCAATTTCTATTTTTCACGTGAAAAAACAACACTGCCTCGAACTTGCACCGATCACTAGCAGATCCGGATCGATGGACCACAATGTTGCTTCGATTAAGTGGACTGTATTTGTTATCGGGAATTCGGAATCCGGATTTTCCTTTCCGAGAAGAGAAAAAACGCGACTCGTCATCTAGAAAGATTATACGTCAATGTTTTATTATTGTTCTTGTCTGTCGTACAAAGGTGTGTAGAGTCTAGTTTGCGTTTGGTGCACAGGGTGTACCTACGGTTTTTGATCGTGTGTGTATTAGGGATGCTCAAGTAGCCGAACACTTACTCAATCCAAGAAAATAGCTCTAAATCGGCCAATTTAAGAGATACAAAAGAGTTATTTTCAATAAACTTGCTTGAATTTAGCTGAGCTATAACTTTGCCGAAGAATGTATACCTTAATTTATTCAAACAAAAAAGTTAGATTTTTGATTTTAATGATAATAGGAACCACCCTAGAATTCATTGTCATAAAAATGAGGGCCTAACTATAAGGACCAACTTTGTAGAAGAGACTTTTAGTCTAAAGTTTCAATTTCAGGCTCAAAACATATCATTCCACCTAAATCTGCACTCTGGACCACTGTGCACTGGAGGGAGGTTGGCGGCCGTGCGGAGTAGTCGGTTCACCTCGTCGAAGAGAACGATCCTGTTGTTTCCCGACGTTTTAGCGAGAAAGGCAGCGGCTTTGGTAGCAGTAGCTGCGGTGAAAACGAGCCGAAAAGGTAGGATACCGGCTTCAACGCATGCAGCGTCGGCTGGCGTAGAGGGCAGGAGACCAGAGACTGTTCGAACGTAGCCGTTGTACACCGGTTCCAGAATCTGGACAGCTTTCTCGGCGGCAAGGCATGTAATCTCTACACCGTACAGTAGGCGACTGTTGATGATGGCTTGAGCTACGCGGAAGCGGATTTCGCGATTGTTGGATCGGTGGGGGCGGGAGATGGTCTTAATAAGGTTGGAATCACATAGATGAAGACTAACCAACTCATTTTTTCTTTGATTCAAGATCATCCTCGCAGGACAAAGTCAAGTCTTGTCACTATCAACAAGGCATGAAAAACAAAATAACCATGTAGCTAGAGAGAACTCTTTTAGAACCACACATCCATTATAAACATTGTAACTAGGGGCTACCTTCCGGAGCCTTCAGAGACTAGAAGCCGAACCAAGTCACGGTTGAAAGTCTCGATAGTAAAGAAAACTGAATTAAACCAGTTAAGGTTTACCTGATTTGGGCCACACAACTGTCCCTAGTAGTAAAATTCATCTATGTCGTAAATAACAGCTTAATCATACCAATAGTCGTCTCTTACCGATGGTTGTGTTACTTTGCCTTATTGAATAATCGTTCGCTAAAAATCGAGGATGGAAATGACAAAAATTCATCATCGATAATCTAGTACGGCCTGTAAATGTACCCCTGAAATGGTTTTCTACGGAAAATTTCAAGTCGGTGCCGGTGGTACCTACCTAGCTGTTATAAAGGAAATGGCAATTTCTGAAGTTTTTCTAATCATAGCATAATATCGTAACTGTTTATTCGATTGAAAAATATATATACATTTACTCACCAATGTACTTTTGCACGACGTATTTGACGTCCGGATTGCTATCTACGTAGTCCAGCAGCTTTCGATCGTCGTTGAAAATGATGATTCCCAAACCTCGGCACCTGTTGCCCGGTTTCAAGATCCACATGTTTCGTATTCCATCGATTTTCATATCCGGAAAGTGCCTGGTTGCCTCCAACACCAGCTTCTTAACCTGTGCTACCAACGATAGTATCTCATAGCCTGGAAGCATCTTAAACCTGGCTTCCTCGATTAAAATTTGAACGATAGTTGTCCTATCCTCCGGAGTCAACAGCGGTGCACAATACTCTTGATAGTCAACGTCTTCGTGACGGGCACATGCTAGGTGATATCTGCAGAACTTCATCGCCGTGTGGATTATATCGACCGGAACTGTTCCCTCTTCTACGAACAATGCATCAAGGTACTTGGACAGATAGTACAGGAAACTGGTGCATGCAGTCAGTTGGAAGTCTTCAAGAAACATAGTAATGGCATCTTCCGAATCCAGCAAGTGAGTGCGAGGACAATCCAGCTCCGCTGTACCGTCATCTTGATGCCACTGCATTGCTTCAATGACCTTCACGAGACCTTCCTTCATCGTGAAGTCGGAAGTTCGATCGTAATATATTCTACTCCGGTATGGTGTGTAGAATCGGTCTTTTTTCGATTCTTTCATGTGCCGATTTTGCCAAATGAAGTCCGCGTTGTGAGGTCTGAGTATCCTCGAGATCAACGCTTCCTCGAACTCATTTCCCTCCTGTGCCTTGTGCAGTAACGAGTGCATAGAAAGATCTTGAGCCAGAGCACATTTGTAGGTTTGTTTCTCCAACCAGTTTCGCTTTTTCAGGGCTTTGCGGAGGGCAGGATAAGGACCGACTATCGAGAAGATGTTCTTCCTTTCCACAGCGGACGCTATCTTCTCCTTCAGTTGCTTATGCTTCTGAAAGTTGAAACTGTAGTTGTGAAAGAACCGACGTTTCCGATGGTTCAAGATGAATTCGTCGTCCACATTTTTCTTGGCCCGTGGAAAAGTGTTCATCTTCGGTATATCTTTGGTCGGTGTTGCTGGTTTGGCAGGACTCACAGTCTCAGAGATCACGGGTGCTTGTTCATCTGTTAAATCTATCCGCTTCAAAATCAAATCCTCTTTCAGCTCAACATTTTCGTCTTTCGGTATATCTATCTCCCCTAGCTGCAGCGTTATATCGGCAAGATCAACACCGGGATCGTGGTCCCATATATCTTCAACATATTTGGTTTTTAAATGCATTTGCACAATTTCACTATTCAATTTATTCAATATAACGATTTTGAATCAAACAACAACTAATTTTGAAGCACTAGAACGCTGCAAATATACAGAAACCAGTTACATTTATCTTCTAGAGGTACACGGAAAAGCGTCGAACAGGGACTGTCACTACACACTAAACGAACATGAACACATAGCAACGATTACTACGATTTCTCTTACTCGTGTCTACTTTGAACCGCGCGCGACGAGCACGTGGCCTCTTTTCTATTAACAATTTTTCCCTAACTCAATTAAATCCTCGGTTGATTGTACGAAGTTGGCACTCGCTCGAGATGCCTTTGGACTTTTAGGCGTGGTCTGCTTCCGAAGGCTTAGCCCAAGGGTGTAGAAATTATTGAAGTTCGATGCTAGCGCCACTTTGCTGCTACTGTTTGCAGACAGCTTATTATATCTACTATAACCGGTAGGATTCTCACTAATGGCAGTGTTATTGTTTTCGACGTTGGCAGTTGCACTATCGAAGTCATCATAATTATTGGCAGTGGGGGCAGCTTTTGTGGAGAACCTCAGATTGTTGTGGCTGGCGCTGGGTGACGTCTGTAGGTCTCCCGAACCGTATGGATTGTTACGGTTAACCGTAAGAGAGCTCAGGGTACTGGCATAGTTGCTCTGGAAGAAGCTAGTCGTAGCACGTTCCCAATCTTCGATGTTGTCTATGTAGGTCTCTCCCTCGGTTAGGTATTTTGGGCCTCCATTTCTTCGAAAGAATTCACCCGTTTTGGCAATGATGTACGATTTTTTCCTGGCAAAATCATACCGTAAGTTGGGTCTCGGTGAAAACCCGGATTTCCTATAGATGGCCGTTCGGGCGCGGATTTCCTCCTCTTCTTGAACTTTGGTGTCGAATTGAAGACATTCGAGAAGATCCATAATCACTGGACCAGTCGTTGGTTTGGGGGCTGCAGAGGCAGCAAGGCGCGATACTTGCAGAACATTTTGGACCGGCTTCACTGGGAGAATACGCAGCCGGTCTTTCTTAGCGGTGCTTTTTGGAGTGATCCGATGGCCTCGCAGCTGGAGGTTTAGTCCCATGTAGGCTGGTGTTTTTGGAATCACTTGCTTGTAGATCATTTCAAATGAACCGGTGCTCGCGTTCAGGTCGTGGCGGCGGTCGATGACAACTGCAATAACAGAAAAGTAAAAATTAAGTTAAATTGATGTCATTGCAATGTTGTGGTAGATGCACTACACGCTAACTTGAAAGTACCCATTAATGGTTGAAAAAGACCCATTTTGAAGAAAAGTGGCTTAACTCATTAAATGAGTAAATTTTTTACCCAATAATGAGTATCTGTTACCCATTAATGAGTAATTGTTAATCATTAATGGGTAACAGATACTCATTAATGGGTAAAATTGTTTAATCATTAATGAGTTAAGCCACTTTTCTTCAAAATGGGTCTTTTTTTACTCATTAATAAGTACTTTCAAGTTAGCGTGTAACGTCCAACTTGAGGTAATTATGAAATTGTGTTTTTATACAAAATGTGGGTCAACTTTAACACTTTTTCATATGCACAGAATGGGAATAGATTTTAGCGATTTTTGCTATGGGGTGTCCCACACCAAATTTCATCACAGAGAAAAAGCTGTAGAAAATTACCCATTGGGTATTTTCTATTGAAAATTTGGGTAGAAGTAGTTTAGAGTGTATTGTTTACACTGTATTTTTATCGTTGCCAGTTTTTCGAAAAACGTGTGATTAAACGTTACTACGAAACTCTGTGCATCGAACGGAAGGAGAAATGCTTTCAGAATAGATGTTCTATTAGTGATCAGGATCACAAGCGTGTCGTGAAAGCGTTTAAGTGGAATCCCAATGCTTCGATCAGGAATGTGGCCAAAAAGTTGAATCTGTTCAAGTCTTTCGTTCAGAGAGTCAAGAACCGAGAGGGACTGCATACGTAAAAAGTACAGAAGGCTCCAAATCGTGACGAACGGCAAAATACGGTGGGAAAGTCACGGGCCCGGAATCTGTACATCCAGGTGCTGACGAAGCCTCATTGTCTCATAATGGATGATCATACTTACGTCAAGGTGGAATTCCGGCAGCTTCCGGGGCCACTGTTCTTCACCACCTAGCACAAGTTTGATGTTCCGGAGGAAGTAAGGAAGCAGAAACTTTCAAAGTTTTCCAAGAAATATATGATTTGGCAAGCGATCTGCTCATGTGGCAAACGGATTGTGCCGTTCGTGACTACCGGGACGGTAAACGGGGAGATCTACCTCAAGTGGTGTCTACAGAAGCGTCTGCTTCGTCTGTTGAAGTAACACGATCTTCTGGCCGGATCTAGCTTCATGTCACTATTCAGATGTTGTCATGGAGTGGTATGAAGCAAACGGGGTCACTTTCGTACCCAAGGAAATCTGAGGCCTGATTACATTTTAAACCAAACGATTTATAATCAACGTTTATACCAAAAATGTATAAAATTTAATCATTCTTGTGTAGAAAGCTTATAAAAACCAGAAGAAGAAGCAATGGTCACAAAACTCTTCACCGGATTACAGAAGATTAGACAATAGACGTCTTAAATTCAAGTGAGAATATTAATCTTCAACAGATACCAGTAGACAGGGTAATTTTCCAAGTAACAATTTAGGTTTCATTAGGGTTCTTCTAGGTCGGTAAATGCTAGGAAATGCGCAATACAGATCCGATTAAGATCACTAGCCTCTTCCTAGCAACTCCTATCCCTACCTCCCCGTGGTACCGGCCGGGAACTGTGAGCAACCTTAGGGAAGATCGGGTAACCAACACCGGTGGGAACTTTGGTCATAGGCTGACAGGGAACGGGGGGATGGTTTGCTTCGGCAAGCCTGAACGTATGTTCTCCAGGAGGAGCGGCTCACAACAGCGTCTGTTCCCCATGTTAGGGGCAGCTGATCTACGTCCGAGTGCCAGTGAAGGACTCTAAGCACAACTGTGCACCATGGTCCTCCGGAAAGTTAGGGGGTTGGTGTCAGGCCCTGCGAGCCAGCCGGAAAAAAGCATTGCAATGGAAGATCAGCAACATAGGAATACGAATCAAGACCAACGGCAACGACCCTAGCGACGAAATAGTACTTGCAATTGGAAACTCGGCACGTGGAACTGTCGATCTCTCAATTTCATCGGGAGCACCCCAATACTCGCCAATCTACTGAAGGACCGCGGATTCGGCATCGTAGCGCTGCAGGAGGTGTGTTGGACAGGATCCATGGTGCGAACGTTTAGAGTTAATCATACCATCTACCAGAGTTGCGACAACACACGCGAGCTGGGGTGATCGGTTGGTAGCCGATCGACGAAAGAATGCGCATGTTGAAGATCAAGGGCCGATTCTTCAACTTTAGCATAATCAACGTGCACAGCCCTCACTCCGGAAGCACTTATGATGACAAGGACGCATTTTACGCGCAGCTCGACCGCGAGTACGATCGCTGCCCAAGCCACGACGTCAAGATCATCATAGGAGACCTAAACGCTTAGGTAGGCCAGGCAGGAGGAGGAATTCAGATAGACGATTGGAAAGTTTAGCGCCCACCAGCTGACGAACGGGAATGGCCTGCGACTCATCGATTTCGCCGCCTCCAAGAACATGGCCATACGTAGCACATTTTTCCAACACAGCCTTACACCTGGAGATCACCACAGCAGACGGAATCGCAAATCGACCACTTTCTGATTGATGGACGGCACTTCTCCGACATTATCGACGTCAGGACATCGACTCTGACCACTACCTGGTCATGGTCAAACTGCGCCCAAAACTTTCCGTCATCAACAATGTACGGTACCGACGCCCGCCACGGTACAACCTAGAGCGACTGAAGCAACCGACTGATGTCGCCTTAACATACGTGCAGAATCTTGAGACAGCGTTGCCAGAGGAGGGTGAGCTCGATGTACCCCCTCTAGAGAATTGCAGGAGTACAGTAAAAGCAGCCATCACCGACGCAGCCGAGAGCACCATCGGGTACGTGGAGAGAAGTTCGACGAGGAGTGCAGAGCGATTTTGGAGGAGAAGAACGCAGCGCGGGTGGTAATGCTGCAGTATGGAACCCGACAGAACGTGGAACGGTATAAACAGAAGCGGAAACAACAGACCCGCATCTTTCGGGAGAAAAAACGCCGCCTGGAAGAAGCGGAGTGCGAGAAAATGGAACTGCTGTGCCGTTCCCAAGAAACATGGAAGTTCTACCAGAAGCTCAAAGCATCCCGCAACGGCTTCGTGCCGCGAGCCGAAAGGTGCAAGGATAAGGACGGGAGCCTCTTGATGGACGGACGTGAGGTGATTGAAAGGTGGAAGCAGCACTCCGATGCGCACCTGAATGGCGAGGATAACGTTGGCACGGGAGACCAGCACAATGGAGGAAACGACTATGTCAGTGCAGCAGAGGACGGAACTGACCCAACTCCCACGATGAGGGAAGTTAAGGATGCCATTCAGTAGCTCAAAAACAACAAAGCAGCTGGTAAGGATGGTATCGCAGCTGAACTCATCAAGATGGGCCAAGAATAGTTGGTCACCTGCCTGCACCGGATGATAGTCAGGATCTGGGAAACACAACAGCTACCGGAGGAGTGGAAGGAGGGGGTAATCTGCCCATTCACAAGAAAGGCGACCATTTGCAATGTGAGAACTTAAGAGCGATCACCATTTTGAATGCCGCCTACAAAGTGCTATCATAGATCATCTTCCATCGTCTATGTATGTATGTAATGTATGTAAGGTAGCCACCATCCCTTCAAAGATCTTGTCTTGTATGCAGCTCCACTTAATAGCAAGATCAATTTGAGCTACCGATCTGAATTCACAATATCGATGTATGAAGGGCCAAAAACGGAGGTGCGGACCCGTAAGCAGAGACACTTACGCGAAATCCACGGGAATTTATGGATCTCCTTCCAACGATACGATCTAACAAATCGGATAACGCAATTCGCAATACTTATTAAGCTTTCTACAGGATGGTTTGTAAAAAAGGGCGCGTCAATCTCACTGAAACTGTTGGAGTAGAATTCACACCACCACAATCGAATCGGTAGGATAAAGAAAATGATAGTGTTTATTCCCTCCTAGACTCCGGTTGTCATACCACTCCATCGTCCAGTCCCAGGTCAAATAATACCCTGATGCTCCCTCCCAACCCAGTATTTATTTATATAATGAAAATATATGTAATAGAGAAATGAAATATTTCAGAACATTAAATATGAAATAATGACTATAAATTTATCTATAGTTGATATTCTGCAATGAAAATAATAATTATTTTACATATAATAAGATGCAGCTCTATGTTTCTTCAGCTCACAATATCAAGTGGATGTAACACTTAAATCTCTAATTACTAATAATGTACGGATGTAAATGCAAAGTGTAAAGTGTGATGTATAACGAACATGACTAACAATAAAATGGGATTACGAGAAAAATAAAAGAAAGATCTCACCCGATATGTTGCAAAGGAATCCATGACATCACGATGATTTCGAAGAGCTCCAATAGTTATGCTGCCGCTACTTCTTCAACCGGTGTTAAAAACAGCACTCTCGCCTTTCCGTTCTCACACAGCAGCGCAAACCCCATCAACCACGAAATACACTCTAGCTGCTCCAACTAGGGGGATCTCAGCAGAGAAAAAAAGGACTGCATCCACTTTCCATCACCAATCACTCGCGACGCCAGCTCCTCACAGGCCGAATCAACTCGCGACCAACGCCAAAATCAGAACCAAAAACTCCAAAAGCTCCTGGAAAGCTGATCAGACTGATCAAATCAACGATGGACGTTGTGCAAAACTGCCTAAGGGTTTCGAGTGAACTATCCAGTTCATTCGAATCTCGCCGGGGACTGCGACAAGGTGACGGACTCTCATGCCTACTCTTCAACATCGCTCTAGAAGGTGTAATGCGACGAGCCGGGCTCAACAGTCGGGGTACGATTTTCACGAAATCCGGTCAATTTGTGTGCTTTGCGGACGACATGGACATTATCGCAAGAACATTTGGAACGGTGGCAGAACTATAAACCCGCCTGAAACACGAAGCAGCAAAGGTCGGACTGGTGGTGAGTGCGTCAAAAACAAAGTACATGCTAGTAGGCGGAACCGAACATGACAAGATTCGTCTAGGAAGTAATGTCACGATAGACGGGGATACTTTCGAGGTAGTGGAGGAATTCGTTTACCTTGGATCCTTACTGACGGCTGACAACAATGTGAGTCGTGAAATATGAAGGCGCATCATCAGTGGAAGTCGAGCCTACTACGGGCTCCAGAAGAAACTACGGTCAAAAATGATTCACCCCCGCACCAAATGTACCATGTACAGAACGCTAATTTCATTTAAAATGCTTCCGCATTTTCCTAATTCTCATCAAAACCTTCCTGAAGTTCTCGGATCCTCATATTACCTTATTTGCCGTTCCGTTTCGCATCGTTCCATTTCGCTTTTCTCCATTCCATCTACTAAATGTCGTTTGAGCTATTTTCAATTTGCACGGCGTGCAGATTAGTGCTAAGGTTAAAAGCGGTCATATTACCGGGGGTCCACAGTATTTTTTTTTTAATCTTTGACGTTTTTTGTGTATTATGTGCGAGAAACATGTCGTTCAAAATTTAAAAGCATAAAAAATATTACATTGACGGTGTATCAAAAATCATCACGGCGGGGCGGCAATTCAAAATCGTCGGCGGCGGCGCACAGGTCTAGAAATGTAATAAACATGTCCAAAAGACCAATACTTAAAAAATATTTTGAAGAATATCAGGTTTCATGAAGTGCCCTCAAGGTTAAAATAGCATACTGTTGTATTTTGTAAAACGTGCGAGTTTTCATGGGATATAGGCCATAGTAGGGCAAGGAATAACATTTACCCCTAAGTGCAGGATTTTAAGACTCTCATGCTTACCTCGTATCGTATCCTCCACGCACTGCGGACAAAGTCGCGCGGTAACACTTGTGCTAGGCGCCAAATCCGGACTCGAATTGATCTCAATCAACCATGGGTAGAAATCCTCCGTAATCATGAAATCCGCTCCGTACAGTTCAAACGTATTAGGTCTACGATCCATATTATCCTGACAGGCCAGTAACGACCCAATGATTGCCTTCTGCATTCCCGGATAAATTCGTTCGGACCACATTTCGTACTTGTCTATCTGGCGCAGGTACGCCTGAAAGGTGTGACAGTCCCACATGTTCTCGTGGGGAAGCCGTTCGTCCCGGACTGCATTGTGGTACTTCTTCTGGATGGCATGATTGGTCAGGTGTACCGATTCGTGGTAGTTCATAAGATTGTACTGCTGCGAACTGAAGCGGAGGTAACTTTCCTTGTAGAACCATATAATCAACGGCTGCACGCTGGTAATCATGAACCACTGCCGGATGTCGAACTTGGTGTTGTGAATGATTAAGGGGCGTTCTGTGGGGGAGGAGGAAAGAGTAGAAACATCGAAAACGATTGATTAGCTATAGTTCTATGTAGATACATGCTAGTTATATAGTCAAGTCCTTGTATCCATTCCGGTAGTCGGCTGGCAGCCAACCGATATGGAAAATCTCCCAGTACAGAAATATGCTGCATTCAAAATCGCAACAATGTCGATGTCAGGCCTCACAAGTTTCAAATACCTTATTTCCATTGCACATACGCGGTTACAATAAGCTGTTTATGCACATGGCAACATATAAAAGCAAAGTTTTACATAATCGGTTCCCCCTCCCTAAACAAGTACCGACAACCAAATACAATAAATCAACTTGAAAATGGGAACATATTGCAAGTTGCCGAGACAAGTCCGGGAGCACGACAAACTGTTACATACACTCGGAGGGCTTGACTTTGGCCCTTGATTTACACCTGCCTTCCCACAGGAACGAGCGCAACAAAGCTTTCCTATTGACTTGTAAAATGGAATTGTATCGTTGCGTGACGTAGACACAATTATGCTTGTTAAATGGATAATGTTTTACCATTTTATTGCCGGGTGTGTAATTTACTATGCAATGTTTGAGGAATCTTTTGAAGCATATATTAGGTGAGCTGATGTTGAAATTTTCCGCATGTTTCATCCATAGAAGTGTCTAATCGAAAACCATGAACCGCAGATGCTTGTCAGGTCAACCAGGCTGTATGTTGCCTCATTTCCCTATATCTTTTGCAAACTTACATACATACAAAATTTCTGAAATCTGTTGTGAGTCAGTTCTGATGGAGAATTTCATAGGAATGTTGAGGACAATTCCAAAGAATTTCTAGGAGCAGTTCAAGAAATTTCGAACAGAATTCATGTGGATTTTTTGGAGAATACCTTGGGAATACTGAATACTTTATATTGTGTTTATATGAATATGGGAGAATTTAAGATTTGTTTTAATGGCTTATAATAAAGAAGTTATGAAGAGAATTTCAAGGGAATTTAAAACAGTAATTACAATAATTGTTGAGAGAAATTTTGGGACTAGCTGTCATCCTCAATGTGTAAACGATGCACACTGCACTGTGGTCCGAAACGACAATTTAGCGTCAATACATTATTTACTCCGTTTCTAATAATTTTAGGTGGTAAGTGTTTTCGTAGAAGTTGTTTATAATTAAATGGGCCTTACTTCTATTGAAATGAAATGAAGGTCCTCATTTTATCTTAAATCGGGAAGCAAACTTAGTTGGTTAGAAGATTTTTTGCAAAACTGTAGAATAACAAAAAATTCAAGCAACTTTCCTGAAGACATGTTTTTTCTAGCCCTTCTTTTGACCATGCTAACAATTTTTTTGCTTTGAACTAGGGTGCCCCTAAACAAAAATCAGTTTTTTTAATTGAACTTTTTTGTTTCAAATGTTTCGAAAAAGTGCTCTTTATGTAGAAGAGTAGTAGGCTAACATTTTTTGACGTAGACTACGTCTTACGGGAAGATCCTGGGGGTAAATTGAAAATCTAAAATTGCGACCGTCACGAAAAGGTGTAAGGTTTTGAACGCTTATAACTTTGTCATTTATTAATGAAATTAAAATCCAAATACACCTATCGATGGGAAATAACTCTCATAATCTGCTACAATAAACTTTTTTTTTATTTTATCACTGTTTTCATGAAATAAACGTTCTCCTCAAACCCAGTCTTCATAATAGAGTACCATTTGGTTGCACATCGTGCTGCTTGAACCTGGAAGGTTATAAAACAGCGCTGCTTTTGTGATTCAACTCATTTTCGCTTTGGACGGCTGGTGAGCAGGTAGCAGTAGCAGAAGCATTATCAGCAGCAGTAGGAAGACAGCGGTTCCTGTCAAGCGGGCAGCGTTCAAGTTTTGCACCTCGAACCTTGCGCGTCGTTCCCGTCGAGATCACTGGCTGCTGGCAGCGCCATCGCCTCCATGGCGCAAGCGCTCCAAAGTGTATCCACCTCCTTGCCTGAATGATAACGATCCCGCGTTCTACAAATCTCGATTACTTTTTCGAAAGGACATATCACCTTTTGTAAACAACGCATTTTATCGTCGGTTTGGCGTAACTGATACCTCGCCCACGCATACTAACACCACTATATCAGGTTCGGGAAAATTTCCCCTATCTGATGGTAGTGTTAGCATGGGTGGGTGACCTACCAGTTACGCCAAATCGACGATCAAATGAGTTGTTTACAAAAGCTGATGCGTCCCTTCGAAAAAGTAATCAAGAAATACTTCTTGGGCTGTGTCAAATTTAGCTCGTGGTTAAACGTGACATTTCGAAAGTTATTTTCAATGTTCGAAAATCCCGGAAATTGATCAGTTTTCAAACAGAACTCAGCCACTGTTGCCAAAATTTAACTACTTACGCTGGGTTTAGACTAGGCAAGTCATTTGATCAATTCAGTTGAATTCAATTGGCTTGAAAAGTTGAGCCTGGTTCAACTTTTTTCAATTCAAGCGAGTTGGCATGGTTTACACGTTAAATCCGCGTTCAAGTCAGTTGAATTCAACTGACTTAATCAATTGAATTGCCCTGGCTGAACTCAGTTTTATTCGATAACTCATCTGTCACTTTTAACCACGAGTTAAATTTAACTCACCCATTGGGACACAGTCTTGGAAGTAAAATTAGGGACCATCCATAAATGACGTCGAATTTTGTCGATCAATTAACCCTCCTTCCTCCTCGTAGCGTGTTTTTCTATACCAAATATATGACCGGTCACAACTTCTGAAACCCCTCTCCCCCCTCAACTACTACGCTATTTATGAAAATTCCCTAAGCATTGGGCAACAGTGAAAATCAGCAGCTCACACACAAAACGGGTTGGACATTTATGTGAAATTTCGGTATTGATCGTGAATATCTCGCGATCAGAACATTTTAACTTGAAATCCCTCCATATAATTCTCGGTACATCTTTTGCCTATTGCCTTCTAAAAAGTAGAAGGGTCTGGGCCTAGGGGCACGAACGGAAGCTTGACGTAGGACCGCTAGTGGACGAAATAAATGTGAAGAGCATTTAGTTCTTTTAATTGATCAATTATCTTTTATCTCAACTCTTTCCGTTTTTGAATTGTAGGCGTACCAAATTTGTAGTAATCTTTTTCAAAGAGAAAGTTGATTAAGAGAATCAATCAAAATCACTTGCATCCCTGCTTACAACTTTGGTTACAAGATTACAACTCTGGGACTTGGGGACTTGTGGTTCTGAATCTGGAGAAACAAGCACAGATAAATTCTATTCCAACTCTTTACTGATGGAAGCTTGATGGCCCTGAAAAGGGCCGTTTTATTGAAGAGGACAACCATGGCCACTTGCGCTTGGCGTGTTTAGTGTAGGTAACAGCATCACGGACCTCATTTTCCAGGAACACCTTCAGCACACCTCGTAGATCAGACCGGAGATACGTTTGACACCACCACGACGAGCCAGACGATCGATGGCGGTTATCTCGAAGAACTTTGCGATGACGCTTGGCGCCTCCTTTACCAGACCTTTTCCGCCTTTGTCACGACCAGTCAATTGTTGCTTGTTAGGCGTAAAGGAGTGGACTAGCCACCACCTTTCTACTGCTGCTATTGCTGTTCACCACGCCGTCCGAACCAAAAATGAGCTAATGCCATACAGCAACGCTCTTTTATATCTTTTCAGGTTAAAGTAGAATGATGTGCAACCAAGTGGTATAAAAGCTACAAAGACTCCTCCCATTATGAGTAGTTTGCTATCAAGTAGCGACACTGGCTCTTTTCCTTTTGCATCATGGCGAATAAGAACGACCCAAATTTGAGTTTAGTTCACTCATAATCGCCAAAAGTGCAGGAACTCAGCGATGAGTAAATTTGTCTCATGGTTTCCTGTGAAAAACCTAAAAAATCTGCCAGAAAATGAGGAAATTGAAGAAAATTTTATTCAGTCTCGGAGAAGTACCAATAGACTGAGTGAATCCAATCGTTATTTTTCTCAAATTCGGGAATTTTTCCCTGGAAAATCCTGGAAAAACCTGGGAAAACATGAGGTAAATTTACTCATCGCTGAGTTCCTGCACTTTATTTCTGATTTCTGAGATAACTAAACTCAAATTTGGGTCGTTCTCATTCGCCGTGATATCACCTTGAAAGATATCGGCGCCGGTGGTTAGCGTGGTTACCTCTCACCCCAGCAGGCCTGGGTCCAATCTCACTCGGCGCCACCGGCATGTTCTTAGGCATAACATCTCTGATCACGCCTTCCTTCGGGAAGTAAAGCCGTTAGTCCCCGGTTGAGTTGATGGGTCGATTGGTAGGGTCCAGGTGTGGGAGCTGCCTCCTTGGCGTCGGTAGCATTGGCGCTCAGTACGGAAAACAAATCTCGCGTCACTTTTCAATAGGTCCTATCTACATTGATTGATTCTCTTCATCGACACTCTCTTTCGTAAATAACTCGGCTTCACAAATGTTTCCTGCCGTCTTCGTCGAATTAGAGTAGCATTTTGTGTGGTCGTTGTTCTGAATATGGACAAACAGGTGACAGCATCACGGGTCTCATTTATCAGGAACACCAGCACACCTCGTAAATCAGACCGGAGATACACCGCCAGACGCCGCCACGGCGAGCCAGACGACGGATGGTGGTTATCTCGAAGAATTTGCGTTTGGTTCTGAATATGGCGATGAGTGTGCAACATATTACGCAATTCCATCTTCCCTATTCGAACGCGCCCGAGGATCGGAGGCGAATGTCACTTGACTTGTTTCGTCTACTTACTACTCTTTGACGACTGTGCTGGGGAAGCAGCATATGCATGTAGGTAATTGGTGGATTTTTTAGTTAATTCGACGCTTTTGGACAATGCTGGACATTTACTAGTTTTTCAATAGTTTCTTGTTAAAAATCAACATTCGGAAGCATTGTTATTGATACGTAGCCATATTTCTGATCGATTGGTGATAAAATTATTGAAATTAGACCAGGGGCAGCTGAGTTATTAACG